GTAGTTACCCTGTTTTTATAACTGGAACCTGCTGTGCTACTGGTATAATAGGTAGCAATCTAAGCAGCTCTCCACTGGGGCTAGTGAGAGTTAGCTCAGGAACCCCTGAACAGCACTGCATTGGCCCACACAGAGCTGGTCATCTGCCAGGCATTACTGTTACTCTTTTTTGGAAGGTTTTTGAGCCCTTCTAGCTGAATTCCTTCTTCTGCTCTACATGGTCTCAAATACTGATGAGTCTCAGGCAGTCCTCACTAGTCCTTTTCTTTCTAAAATCAAAATACTGCAGTATAAACTGTGTAGCTTGTTAGGTAAGGGAGCAGTCACACAGGTGAACACCATGCTTTCACCATCCACTGTGGCTGCTCTAAAATAGGACTGCCACCAAAAAAGGCAGCTTGGTGCTTTCTTTACCTGGCCTTCTTCCAGCCTCTGCCTTGTGCCACTATAAACAGGTAGGAAGAAGGATGCTGATCCAGGCTGGGGAATTGGCTTGGATTAAGACTAAATACTGTTGTCAGTTTTATGAGTTTGTTTTAGTCCAGCTCAGTTTCTAGCTCCCTGATACTCTTCATGCACAGCCACATCAGCACTTGACCTGTTGTAAAAGAGGGGATGGCAGAAGGTGAGAACAAGTGGCAGTTTTTGGAGAGATTGCATCAGTAAACAGCAATGTCTGATTTAGTTGACTGTAAAATAACACTTGGATTTCCAGCTGGTGAGGCCAGTCCTGTGCAGTCTCTATGGGCAACGATCATTAAAAGAAATTAAGTTGGGTTGATTCAGCCACTAGAGGGGCCTCCCTCCCATGAGCCTTTGCACAAACCCTTTGGTGGCTGGCTGAAGTTTGTCCCTTGGCCTTCGTGATTTTGAACGTAAAAATCAAAACAGATTTCATCCCCAAGGCCTAACTTTCACTGCTTTATCATTTAAAAGCTGCCAGTCCAGAGTACATTCGGAGAAGTTCCCAGACGATAGTTGAGATTATAATGTGTTTTCCCAGTACTTACATAAACCCCATAAACTGGAAATGCTCAGCTTCACTCACATGCATCCTCTGTTGAACCACTGTGAAAATAAGTAATATCTGGCCTTTTTATGAATCTCACAGTAACAAATCAGATGTAGATATAGCAGAGACCCGAGGAAATGGTAGCCCACCATGGTCCTCATGCATTTCCCTTCAGGTGCCTCACTGGTGATGACCAATCACAGATGCTTGTGCAGCACCAGGGCTCTTCTTTGAGTCCCTCAAAGTCAAGAAGAAGCTGCAGTGCAGCACATGCAAAGGTTTTTCATGTTCCCTCCTGCCTACAGCCTCATTCCAGCAGTGTTGTGTTAGCACATGATCCAACTTGGCAGTTTGACTGACTGCAGAAAGGAAAGACCTGACCTGATACGGAAGACTCAGCCTTCTGCTGCCTATCTGCAGCATAGTAACATCTGTCCTGTAAGGATAAAAACTAAAGCTAAATTATAAAAACCTTAAACTACATGCAGTGAAAAAAATTTCACCTTCTCTCCAGCCATTGCATAAGCTTCTGTCATGGCTTTTGCCAGGTGCTAAGAAAACTGCTTTTAATCATTCATTGAGAAAATATACTTTGGTAACTAATGAAGTTAGTTAGGAGATGCCTCATCCTAAAATGAACTCCCATGGAATTTCACTAGCTTGGTGCCACACTGAAAGTGTCCAGCCTCCTCAGAGCCCCAGTTTTTGTTGAAGGGGTTAGAAGACAAGGTGTGAGAGGTTCCAGCTAAACAAGGGAAACCTGCTTTGACCTGTAGCTGAAGCTCAGATGAAGATAGTTCTGCTTGCCGAAGGGCTCAAGATCTTAATCAACCCTCACCCCTTTAATTAGCATGAAGCAGCTCATGAGTTGCAGCTTACAGCATTGGGGCACAGAAAGGCACAGGAATAGTCAGCTTGCTCCTGATCAGGAATTGGGTAAACATTACCCTGGGGCTTCATGTGGTCACAGGTTTGGCATTGCCTAAACTGGCTTTGCAATGTAAACAGAGGATTGTAATTTATGTAGAAATATTGTGCAGTAAAATGCAGTACAGTGGCGCAGAAGATGAAATACAGTCCCCACATCTGAACTTGTTCAAGCGTTAAAAATAAGAAAACAAGAAAAACCTAGTCTAAAATGAAGGTATTTACCAGCATTCTCCTTCCTAAGATTATTGAATGTGGTCTCTGATAGGCATCATTCATGTTTGCCTATATTTGAACAAAGCAAATTCCTCCTTTGTAGCTCCTATGCTTCATTTCTATAGGAGCCAAGAATGCTCAACACCTCTGAAAACCCGATGTCCCATATCTGGAGAACAGTTCATAAATGTTTCTGTCTCTACAGACTGTATTTTAGATTGGTCTGAAACTGTGACAGTTCTTAAAGAAAAACCATTCAGAAAAATAATGTAGGAAGATGGCTTCAGTCGTGTCATGTTTCAGTACATCCATGCTCTGTTCTGATACAAATACAAATGTTGAGCTTAACTTACTGATGCAAATTTTAATAAAGTCTAAAATAAGTCCATAAGTTCAGTAGCTGAAATAAAGCATCAATGCTGGCAAAATGAAACACTTCAAACACGAAACACAAATTAGTTTGGTGCAGATTCTTTCTTAATTTTGATAATGTTTGATAAAGTTTTCTATTTGTATGTTTTTGAGTTACAAATTTTCCTGAAGTTACCCTGCTTCCCTGAAGGGTTTAAACATCAGAGACATGTTGTGCAGCAGGAATCACACTATCAAAATACATTTACCAATTCTAATTACATTAATTAATGAACTATGCTATATGTAGGAACATGATTAAGATAAAAAGTGATCTGAAAAATAAAGGTTGTGACATAACCTATAACATTTTGCCATATCAATGGCAAATGATTTAATAGTAATTTAATAAACATGTATAGTTCTCAAAGCAACCACTAATGGAGAAAAAGTACAGTTATATAAATTTTCAAAAAACACTGGTGAGAGCTGTTTGCAGGTGATTCCACTCCCTGCATGCTTCTAACAGACTCTTGGTTTGGGATAACTTCACTGTTCAGGTAAGCAATGACAGGAATGTAAAATGGTCTTTGCCTGCTCCCTAGGTCAGTGACCCCTTTTGTGTTTCTTAAGGTTTTCCTGGATTTCCCCCTTCTTTCCTTTGAATGGATCCTTCTACCACTTTTCCAATACTATGGTGAAGTTATTAAACCACATTTGTTGTGGCACTGTGAGTCAGCAGAACTTGCTGAGCGGTTTCAGCTGTATGGTGCTCTGAGGCTGATGCACAGAAAGCATCGTTGTAGGAGCATCGTCTGAATCTTGGTTCAAGGTTGTCGTTCACAGAGAAAGACAATGATTATAAAATCTATGCTTGACATTCCCAAAGAGATAGAGAAAAAACTTCCAGCTGGATGATACTAATTTGAGATGAAAGGAAGGAAAAAAGATGGGGAGATTCAGACTAAAACATTCTTCCTCTGGAGCACAGAACAGCTGCCTCTGTGTTTAGGAACGCACAACACAAAAATCAGAATGCCAGCTCATGTGGGCATTGCCTGCATTCTCCTGCCTCATGCAATAAAAGAAAAAGCTGAAGAAATAAATAGCTGTTACTGAAACTTCTGGTAAATCTTTACAGATACTTGCCAGATACTGGAAGAAGGAAGATACTGGCTTTGCAGTGAAACCCTGTATTTACTGGAACCCTTTTTTTTTTCGCGAAAGATGTACACCTGTATACTGAATAACTGGTTTTATTTACCGGTTAGGAAATCTAAGTAGCGGTATAAACTGTTCTTCCTTTGGAAAACCAAGTTACGGCGGGGTCAAGTACCGGCATCCCTCCAGCTCCCGGCCGGGCCCGGCAGTGCGGCGAACGGGCGCTGGGAGCTCTTTTAGGAGGAATTTGCCCAGGGGAAGCACGGCCGGGCGCGGGCCCGCTCCCTTTCCCGCGGACCCCTGGGGTTGCCCGGGAGTTGCCCCCACGCTGCCGCCTGGAACTGCTTTCTGGGCAAGGCGGCGCGGCACGACTCCCTTTGCCGGGGCACAGTACAGCTCAGCTCCCCACGGCGGGCAGACTCTGGGCACTCCGCCCGGCAGCAGCTCCGTGAGGGGGCGGGACGATACCCACAGCAGCAGCCTGCGGTCAGCAGAGCCGCTGGGGAAAGCGGCGAGAGCCACGAAGGCGGCGCAAACCGCAGCCCGAGACTCAGCCCGGCCCAGGCGAGGTGCCTTCCGCGGGTCCGGTCGGTGGGCAGGGGCCGCTCTGGTACGAGCCTCTACCGGACGGGCTAGCCCGAAACCAGGGCACTGTCTCTTTAACGCGCGGCTCTGCCCCAGGCGCCCCCTGCTGGCCGTCCTGCGGCAGGCGGGCGCCGTGCCCGCGGGGCTGGCGACGGGCGAGTTCCCCCGGTACTAGAGGGGCCGCGGCGCGGCGGGTGTGTCCTGCTGGCGCTCGCCCACCCCCTCGCCCGCCCCCGTGCTGTGGGTGGGATCGGGGGAGGAGGGGACGAGCCGGGGGAGGAGGAAGTGGAGGCGGCTGCGAGTAGCGGGCAAATGGGGAGCTGAGAGGCTGCAGCAGCAGTACCGCGGTCGCGCAGCAGCAGCAGCGACAGCAGCAGCAGCGGGCAGGCACGGAGGCGAGTTAGGCGGCAGGGTTCGTGCGGGCGGACGCGGCCCTGGAGAAGGGTGGCGGGGTACCGTGGCGGGTGCCGCTCGGCGGGCAGCGGCGGCATGTCTGATCGGCTGGCTGCTCAGGGACTAGTAGCTCAGTGGGCCGGTAGGGGTAGCGGCTTCCATGCCAGCACAGGCACCTTCTCTGCCTGCCTCCGTGAGGTGCCTGCCAGTGCGGGGCAAGGCCTGCCGGGGGCTGCACATCGCTTGCTGCTGGCGGCGGTGGCTACGCCTGGCTCGGTTCAGCGGCGCAGAGCGGGCGGGCGGGGGTAGCGCCTGCGTTCTCCGCTAGAACCGACTGATATTTTTTCCTTTCTCTTCTTAACGCCGTTGCTTCGCAGGCGCCGAGTGAGAGCGGTAACCGGGCTGCCTCCGCCACGCTGGGCTGATTCCTCGAGGGGTTGCCGCTGTCTCTCCGGGCCGGCACCATGCAGACCTTTCTGAAGGGGAAGCGGGTGGGTTACTGGCTGAGTGAGAAGAAGATCAGGAAGCTGAATTTCCAGGCCTTCGCCGAGCTGTGCCGGTAAGGAGGCGGCCCTCGCCACGCCGCGGGGAGCGCCAGGGCGGCCGTGAGGCAGCTGGGGCGGGCGCCGGCCGAGGGGCGCGGCGGTCTCGGGATGGGACCGGGGCCGCGCCGTTCCGGGCTCGGCCGTGGCCTGCTCCGGCTCTCGGGCGTTTTGTGCTCGGTGCGCGATTGCCTTCAGCAGGCTGTGTCCGCCGGGACCTGGGGGGGACAGGACGGGACGGGACGGGTCGGTGCCTGCGGGGCCGCGGCTGAGGTCTCCTGCTTCCCGCTCACCTGGGCGCTGCCGCACGCTCCCGGGAAACTCGCTCTGGGGCGGTGCGCAGCGTCCCTGTGTGTGAGGGCCCGGCACAGCCCTGGTTTACTGCCTGGGAGCATTTCTGTTCACCGCTTCCCAAACGGTCTCTAGTGCTCCCGGTGAAATAGTCTCATTTGCGATCTCTGGGGAGCTTGCTAAGGTTTGGAGCTGAAGCAGAGTTATTAGGAAGAGTCTGTGAGTAATTTACCTTCATGTCCTGCAAAAAGCACATGAAATTAGTGTAATGCAAATCCCTGAGTGAGCTTGTATTCACCCGAGATGTAAATTACATGTCTGAAGGTGGTGTACCTGCGCCTATTTTCTGCAGTCCCAGAGGTAAAGGTTAGTTTGATAAGCTGTAATTAGACTTTATCTGAATAGCTTAGAGGATAATATATGCAGTATATTACAGTTTTATTATGTAATTGGAAGTGTAAACTCCATGTGGGTCCAAGGTCTTGTGACACATGCATTACAGCTTCTTATACTGAATAAAAGCTTTTTCTTATTAATTTCATTCTAATAGTAAGTTTTTAACAAGTAGAGGGAATCAGTTTTGATGATTGAAAATATTCTATATAAACCATATTCTGGTTTGTGTGGAGTCTGTTCAGACTGCAGAATATATTTTACGTGACTTCGAGTACACTTCATTAATGCATATCGTGCTAAAAACACCAATCCCTGTCAAATTTCTGTTGGCAGCACTTGCTCCTTTCTGTAGAGATGAAGGAGGCAGAAGAAACAGAAAACTATTTTGAGAGAGTGACTGAAGCTTTACATCAGCTTGCGTTCTTGGCATTCTGTATCCTCTCTGTCAAACTTCAGAAAAACTTAACAGAATTTTTAAAGTATGGAAAAGGACACAGGTTATGGTTTAATGTCTTCATAAATTTCATGTGATTCTTCAAACAAAATACTTCTGGATGAATAATGCTAAGCTTTGACTTTGCCTAAGATTTTTGGTTATTTTTTGTAATGCTTTGTGCCCAAAAGCTAAGGGGAATCTCAGAAAATACATAAAAAGCTTGTTTGTAGTAATTTGTCTTTCTTTTTTGATATTATGTGCTTTCCATTTGTATGTTTAGGAACCTCCAAAACTGACTGCCCTCTGCTGTCCTTGTTTCTCTTTTTGACTAGGTTCTTTGCTTTGATTCTCTCTACTTCAGAAATTCTTTGCACCTATGTCGCATAACATGGGTATACAAATTCTTTGGGTGCTCTACAAATTTATTAATAGTTTTTAGGTCCTCACAGCACTGTGAAAACTGACCCAAAGTGTCTCTCTTGCTACAGTTTTCTAATTTATTGATGAAAATTAGTCTGTCTCATTTGGTACAGGCTAATCTCTCTTTGAATAGTATTTACATCATTGGACAGATAGGTCTGTTCAGTCATGCTTTGATATTTTTAAAAGCATTTAATGTTAGCTTTTTTGTAGAAGTAAAGTCTTTGATTTAAAGCTCAGTGCAATTTCTGGAGCAGGTTGTACTGGTATCTAGGATGCTCTCTTCCTTTCCTTCCCAGTAACTTCAACTGACACTGGTGGGAAGCTGCGTTTAATTGGGCATAGATTTCAAGTATTGTATGCATAATATCTGCTTGATCACATGTGTGTATGTAAACTTTTGTTGCTGTAAAAAAAGCAGTGCTGAGCTCAACATACATCTTACCAGAAACATTGTGTATGATAGGAAATAAGGCAAGCGTAGTCATTCGTGTACAGTGATTCACGCGAGTGGACTGTGTGTCTGTCTCTCCATTCTGTGTACTTTATGGTGATTGTTAGTTGGAATGTATTTGCTTGTTGCCTAGGGATATACTTTCTGGATGACTACAAAGTTCAGTTTTGTTTGTGCGGGTTTGCAATGAAGCAGTTATATAATCCAGGGAAGTTAGAGAAGCCTCTTAATGAATTCCTGAAGCTAGGTTTAAATTGGGAGTGTTGTTAGGATGAGAAGAATCTTCATTTCTCTGCAGTCTCCCAGTACAGCCACTTCTAGTGCAAAGTACTGGTGTCCTAAGGGGATCTGGTGCAAACATTTCAAAATCTGTTTGAACCATCCTCTGAGAGGTAGTTGAAGTGCTGAACTGCTTTCTGAACAGTGGTTTCAGGCTTCCTCTCCAGCAGTGCTCCTAAGCTGAAATGTTGTTACCTTGTCCTAGCTGAAATGTGAGTGTGAGAGGACCTGCAGTTAAGGTGCTGCTTTGGGGAAGGAACAGGCAGGCCTGCCTTCAGGTTTCTGCTCCACAAAGACTACACAGGAGCTTTGAATACTTTTCTCATGTTTGCATCTGTCTTTAAAGTGCAGCTTAGTCTGCTGGCTTTCAGTAGGTTTCCTTGTTAAATGTTGGCATCTGAATTCTTCCAGGTTTGTTACTGGAGAATTTACAGACATCTGCCTTATTTTCTTAAAATTTTCACTTGATATGTAAATTTCTTGTAACATGTGACAGGGTAGCTGTCCTGCCTGGACATGGTGTCTTGGGGCTTTTGCCTAAGCTTTATATCCACAAGGTAATCTTCCTTGTATCATAGGTCTTTGAGGTCACCTGTGCTGCTGTTCCTCACTCTGGCACACTAGATGAGTCCTACCTGAGCTGTGTTCTCTGTAGACATAACAGCCTTGGCGGTGCCTTCCAGTGTAGCCCAAGGAAATGAAAGCAATGCCTGTGGTGATATTTACCTCCACATTTATAGTCCAGACCAGTGGTTTCCAAATAGTTGTGTTACAGCTCACTGCAGCCCTTAATGCTTCTACATCTCTTCTGAGCTTCTGAGTGGGGTGGTGAGCAGAGAGACAGTGTGGTTTTACAAGCCTGTTGCAGAGGATCAGTGGTCCCTGGATAGCACCTTGAGAACTGTCAGTCTGGAGGATAGAGCACTTGGACTGACAGGTGGGAAGCCCGGTTTTGAGCCCAGTTTTGAGCCAAAGGAGACAACCTGAAAATGGGCCAGGCTCACTCTGGTTAGCTGGCTGAACCTGCCACTGTGTATAGAGGGGAACATGAGCTCCTTCCCTGGTGCTGGGATAGCCATCCTATGTGCTCTTTCTGTATCACCGTGGCAGGGGCGTCCCTACAGGAGGAGGTGTGTTCTTGGTTCTGGTCTCTGCTTCCCACAGGGTTTTTTGATTCTGTCCAGCACCTCCTTTCTACATAAGCTGTTGGTGGAGTAAGGCTTTTATGTTCCTTTCTGTGCATCGTTGCAGTTTCAGTGGGGAAAAGAGAGTCTCTGTCTCAGCCTTGCTGGTATCACATCATTCCTGTTTGAGTTGTGATGTGGGATTGAGCTCTTCTGTGTGGAACAGGGAGTTCAGTGCAGACTTACCATCTCCTCAGTGAACTTACTAGTTAGCAGGCAATTTAAGAAGCTACTACTGCCAAGTTGTCCCATGCTTCTGAATGAAGCTGCTAGGGTGCCATGCTTTGTGTTGAACCCGCTATTGTCTACATGCTAGCATATATGCTGTGGCTGCAGTTCCCTGAGTAGAGCCCCTTATGGGGCTGCAGTGTGCAAATGTCTGGTTTGTGCATCTCAGGTAGGCTTTCCTATCAGCCTTTATGTTCAGCTCCACCAAGGTGATGTCACAGTCTCAGAGCTTTGGGTAGCTGGCTACTGGCAAAATACAGAGCATCTATGGCCTGCTAAAAAGTAAGACAAGTTTTTTAGGGACTCCTGACAATTTCAGAGCCTGTAATATAAGCATTTAGTTCTCTCATTGCCATGTGTCTCTCCCAGTGCTTAAAGAAGTTCCTTCTTCTAGCTGCTTGATCTTGTCCTCTATCTCAAGCTGGGTTTAGTTGTTATGCAGTTGGCAAACACTTTCAATCCAATCAGTTCCCTGCTCATCACATTGACCTTGGCATGGTTGTCACTGTTCAGGTGCACTAGCACTAATACAAGGTGAAAAAGATGGAGGTGCACCACTCCATTACACAGGTGACAGAGCTGTGGTGTGAATTGGAGGTAGTGGTAAAGACTCTTGGATACCTGTATTATCCTTTTGTAAAATACTCATAGACGTTGGGCCAGGTTTCTCTGCACATTGTGAATAAAAAGGTGACTGTTCATATTAGGGGAGGAGTGGTGGTGGAAGAACAAAAAAATGCATGTACCTGTTCAGAAGATGAGTTGTGTGTTTGGCACCTGTTCAGATTAGTGAGGTACAGCCATTTACAAATGGCCATTTGCTCTATAAAAGACTCTTACTCCTTTGTAGTTGCTCTGCATGTCAGCTGTTAATATAGTCTCTTCTGGGAGCCATGGAGACTCAAGGCAGTAAGGTTATGGCAACGTGAATAAGTTACAGTGATATGAGGTGAAATACATATGCTTCATCCAAGAGGAGATATTTTAGTCACCCCATTATGAATGTTAAGCTATTTCTTGGTTATTTTAGGCAAAAGCATTCACATGTGAAACTTGTAAGATTGCATGGTGATGTGGTAGCTTTTCTGTGTAGCTGTATGCATGAGTCAGAATTTCTTCTTTATATGTGTAGAAAATGAATAGCAGAGGAGTTGAAGAGTTGCCTGAAGATGTAACCCATGCCAATTTGACAGACAGAAGAACTGTGCCTATACATCCTCATGTCCAGATTATTTATGGTCAGATTTTATTGTGCTGTGGTTTGGTTTGGTTTTTTTTTTTTTTCTTTTCATTAAAAGCAGGGTGAGCATGTGGAGGAAAATGTTCTCA